GTCTTCGTCACAAGGCGACACACACACAAACACACACATACAGCACCTGCCTCCGTCTCCGTCAGTTGCTATTCCGACCCGGGGGGGGGGGGGAGACGGGGAGAGGGCGGGAGCGGGCGGGGGACAGAGGGAGTGACAAAGGAGTCCGGAAAGCGCGACAGGTGGCCCGCGCACTTCCCGTCTCCGGAGGGGGAGGGGGTATTAACGAGCACTTTGCTGACTCGGCGACGGCGCCTCGCGGCACGACCAAGGCAAGGCCGAGGTCAGATGAGGTCGGCGGCAGAGCGGGGCCCGGGAAGGTCAGACACGATCTGGGCCGGCGCGGCGGCGGGAGAGGAACTCTGGAGGTGGAGAGAGGGCTGGCGGTGGCGGAACCCGGGAGGGTCGAGAGCGCGGAAACCGAGAGGGTCGAGAGTGGCGGCTGCAGGTGGCTGTTGGCAGACAGTGGTGAGAGGTTTGGAGGTGGCCGATTCTCAACACTCTCACGCCAGGGAAAACTGACTGTCATGACAGCTTCACTTTCCGTGAGTCATGGCGAGGCATCAATCAAAAAGCCCCGAGTCGACACATGCCAATAAAACGAGAATGACAGCGAATTCAGGCCAGCTGTTAGGTGTGATATGGTCTCTACCCGCAGAGGGTTATCCTTTATTTGAATGAGTTGTGTCCTGTCGGATTTCTTATTCCGTCATCATCGATAAACAAAAATGCATTTGCTGTGTTAGTCAATCATGACGGGCGTGGTGAATAACTAAAATCGCAACAAACTTCATTAGTTGGCTTCTGCAGAGGGCACGTGACATCATCTCCGGCGGGACCCGGGCTGACGTGACTGAGACTGACGTGACTGACGTACCGGAGATGTTTCGCAGGATCCGGTGATTTATTGACGTTCGTGTGACGTCCAACTGAGTGGCGGTGACCGCGCAAAAATGTCAGTCTTACAACGGTGGTCTCGTGGGAAATACAACCAGTATACCAGAGGCATCAAGCATACCTAAGCTTGTGGTAAACTAATCAATTATTTCAGTTGAGATACTCGCTAGTCGCTGACACGTCATTAGAGATTATTACCTTATATGATTCGTCAGTAACGCTGCGATGCGTGCTACACAGTGTTAACAAGCACTGATAACATTATTTAGTAGCTTTGACACACGAACGTTCAGGAACAAAAGGGTGCGTATGCTCTACCTCGGTGAGAATGACGGAGAACATATTCCGCATCCTTTCTCGGTACTTCACCCGGGTCCAACTAATGATTCAAGGCCACCTGGCATAACTGGGATATCGAGAAGCTGAGATACCGACCATCAATCACGGGTTCTGCCGGCGCTGAGACCGCAGATCGGGCGGGCCTCAGTTCAGGGCCGTCCCCGGCCGGCGCACAGCCGGAGACTGCAGCGCCGACCAGGCCGCTAACACCGGAGACGCCGACGCAGCATGACTCACGAGCACATGGCCGGCTGGCCAGCGGCGGTGGGGGGCCGGCCGGACGGAGTCGCCTCAGCCCCTCACACCGGACACTGCCTGTTCAGCGGCCCATCCTGCGCCCTTGGACAGTGCACGGGGCACCATCGTGCGCTGGTCACGTGCCCCACGACAGCTGCCAGACGTGGAGGCACGTGACTTTAGCAGCCAGGGGTAGCTCGAGTGGTGGACGGGCCGAGTATCAACTATGGCGACCGGACTGCAGCCATGCACAGATCCACTGCACATGAGTATGACGTTCAGCGAGCATTGCCCACAACACAGTAGTGTGTGCAGGATGGGCTAGTCTATGCAGATCGTTTCCCAAAAGGCCACCGCCACTGAGTCAGCGAGGCCGCACGTACCGCTGGTGGCCGAGGAGTTTCGTAACGCGCCGCCTGTTCGGCCCATTCTATCATAGGGGCGTGGCTGGCTTTACGACCGCTGCTTGGGAGACCTTGAACCAAACGGCTGCGTGCTGGCGGCGGTCTCCGGGTCCGCCCCGAGGCCGTTTACCAGTCACTTGGTGCGGGGGATAATGTGGACGTTAAACAGCACGCCGTTCGCCTGGGCGTAAGCACGATACTGTCTTCAGACGGTTCGGCAAACAGGAAAGGCCGTCGGCGACAGTCGCTAAACGGTCGGTGCGTGTTCAAACACGGCGAAACCCGGGTACAGGCGGGCTGCTTTCCGTCTCCTGTTGGCCGACTCTTGGCTAGGTCAAGGAGACCATGGCTGGTCGTGGAAACCCACGCATCCGTCGAGAAAGAGAGAGAGAGAGAGAGAGAGAGAGAGAGAGAGGCGTTACATCCGGAGCCGTCTCTTTCTTACCACCACCCTCTTACCACCACCTCTCTCTCTCTCTCTCTCTCTCTCTCTCTCTCTCTCTCTCTCTCTCTCTCTCTCTCTCTCTCTCTCTCTCTCTCTCTCTCTCTCTCCCCCTCCCGTCTGGTTCTCTGGAAATGAGTAGCCTGTGCCAACTCGGTCAGTCGTCTAATAGGCCGGTTCTCTACATGCATAGGTAGTGCTAGTCGTTTCGGAAAGTTAAACACGAGCACCGGACTGGCACGAAAGGAGACCGTGAGCAGAATGCTGCCCAGGACGGGATCAAAATCACGCTGAATCTGGCTCAAAAGCACTGGCAGGAAATAGTGCAGCGTTGGCTCAACCATGCATGGTATCTTTATCCGTCGAAGTTCATCTGAACTCGGCCCTGGAGAGGTTTGCAACTCAACGTCTGGCACGCTTACCCGTCATCCGTCGTTGGACAGGACCAGTCGTTGACTAAATAAGACCCACTGAGGGATGTTTACAATGGCGTACTCGCCATCTCCGGTGCCTGCCGAGCGGAGTACTCTGCAGGGTCGACCGGGGGATGTTGGGAAATCGGGCTCACATTCCGAGCGAGGTCGGCTGGTGGTCGCCGACAGGTTCTGGCCGCGCCGCCGCCTCTGCCCCCCGGCTGCTCCCTCACCTTGACGGACAGAGTGCGCCTCTGTCCCAGGCCGGCGCCGTCCCGGTACGGCATCCCCTCGCCGGACTTTTTTTGTGCCACTCTGAGGAGCCACCGTGAAATTGTCCATAGGACAGGAGAAAGTAATGGCTAGGGAATTATACGGTAGGGGAAAGGCACGAATCTGTGAGAATGTCTGGGAAGTTTTCTCATTTTCGGAAAGTAGTGTCCTGGCGGCGCTTTTGAACATGTCCCATTTGCGTGTGACGGTTTGACCTTCGATTTCAATGAGGAGGGTCTTCCACGGCCACAGGTCAGAAATAGGTCACAAAGATAGGAAATGTCAGAGAACTGGATACGTATTTATAGCTTACACACGTATGACAAGGAGTTTATGACAATATAGCGCTTGCATTTTTGTCTTGTTTTGTGACAAGTGGGATAAAAACTTCGAGCTTCACAGAGCATACTCATCACACAATGAACAATGCCTGATATAAGCAAAATTTCCGGTTACGAAACGAACTATTTTGACTAACAAGCGCACCATGAAACCTGACAAAGCAAGGAAGCGTGCATGTGAGACCAGATTCCAGCAGAAAGAACGAAGATTAACCATACCTTGTCGAAAGGTCACTCAAAGAACACAATCACCTTCACCTTGAGATCCTACTTCGATACCCGAATTCTCCGAATCTCGGCCTAACGAGAAATCCCCAGAATTGGCGGCAGCGGCGGCCAGCCGGACGTCATCGGCGTCAGTGCGAGACCACCTGAGTGTCGGAGGACGTCATCTAATGAGCCGATGTTCGACCACGAAGGCCACTGGAGGCGACAGTTACCTATCCGCGGCGGGGCGGTCCCTTCGAGCCGCGCCTCGGGTCGTCCTCGCCGCCAATGTTCTCATCCGGGCCAACGGCTACTAACCGCTACCCACGCCCTTCGCCCTTCGCTCGCCACCTGCAGCTCGCACTCTCCAGAGCTGCAGCCGGGCGCTGGTGGGTGTGAGCCGACTGCTGAGGACCCAGCCGACCGTGTTTGGTGAGATGTCGACGTGTTAGGTTCGATCCCGTGACCGTACCGGTCCAGTGCTACGGTACACAGCCGGCAAGGTCGAACCGCTCGGTCAGCATGCAGATTTGTGGAACGGTCACAAGACTGTCGATGTATGCACACCGTGGACCAGTGGACCTTGAAGAGGTGTGCGCAATGCTCGCGACCTTCCGATTCTGCGTAGTCGATGGAAAATGGTATTCAGAGGTGGCAAATCGTATGCCATTCGGATGAGAGAGGTTGCAAAAGCCTACCTCTCACTTTTGCGTCCCACCTTTTCTCCCGTTTTAGCCCCGCTCTGCTCTGGCTCGCCCTGCTCTCCGTCCCTCTCTCCTCTCCCCAGTTTCACGTGACACATCGACCTCCGGCGGCGACCCGACTGGAGCCGACCCTGACCTAGCTGATGGAGCTGATCGGACCCGGCCCTTTGAGGACGCGGAGCCGTCGCTCGGTGTCCCGCTGGGACTGTGGATGGGGCCGATCGGTCCCACTGGCCCACCCGGACCCGGCCGCCGCTCCAAACGGACCACATGAGGCCACGCGAGCCCCGGAGCCGCGCTTTCCCAGCGAGAGCTCGCCCACGCAGCCCACGCGCTGTCGTTTTATAATCACTCAGACGGAGAAGACTCGATAGCTGCTGTCATGAACACGAAACGTGATTTTTCCTTAAATTTCAATGACATCGACGCTAGAGCGATTACGGAAATCGGACAACGTCTGACCTTCGAAGTAAGAGTGAGACGGGCTCTTCATTCGAGTACTACAGTCAACTTCCCGCGGCGAACGTTTCCTTTCAACTTCAAGGACAGCCAATTCAGCTGTATATTCACCTCCGTACGCAATTATGGCACCTTTGTGGACCGCGGCGGCGCCGGAGATTCCACCGGTACGCCGCGGGGCACAGCTACCAACAAGGGCGGCGCTCGGAGGCCGCCGCTGTCGAGAGGCCACTCTATTGAGTCTCATGGCCACAGTTCTTCAGCGCGAGTCACGTACGTGACTTTGATCGCCTGTTCTCTTTCAGGGTCCAGGCACATCCCCGGTTACAACACGTGGCAGCCGTGAGGAGGGTTAAACCAGCGCCGGCGGCGGTCCGCCGATTAATGACTATCGAACAGGCAAAAGATGGTCGGCTCCCAGCGGCGGCCCCATAGGGACTGAGGTAAATATCCTTCAGCGCGATGACCAAATGACCCTAGTGGAGGCGAAAAGTTTGCCTTGACCGATGCGATAATCATCGATAGATAATTGATAAAAGAATTAAGGAACAATATATATTTTCTGATATAATGAAATATTAGCATGTCACGATGCATATGTTGTTTTTACTGCCGATATCATGGAGAAAATATTAAGACGGACCCATTATCGGATGCTTGTCGGACACCCAGCCGGGGCGGCGCGTGCGTCAGCTGCCGGCCGGCTCTGAGGAGGGAACGTCATTTCCTGTGGGCGGCAGGGAGCGGCACCCTGGTCCCCCGCGGACCGTGTCGGTTTCTCCCGAGCAGAGGCGCATGTATAATACTGACCTACTCTTTCCAGAAGCAATTAGCGGCGTAAACGCTGAGCGGCTTATTCCCCTGGAATGGAAATGTGGGCCGGAATTGCCATGCGAAAAACCAAACACAGAGCCGGATCCAATGTCCGAGCGACAAGACGTGCATAGGTGACAAAACAATAGTAGGATACTGGGAAACTTAACGTGACAGGTTTGTTAGAAACTGGGAAGGTAATCCCAAAATAATGAAAGGTAGATGCAACTACGCGACATCAGGAGTCTCATCTCGCGCATGGAGGCATCGCTAGAGTCACTTAACGCATGGTTCTGCGCACACGCCCTGAAAGTCAACGCTTCTAAAACTCAACTGATGGTATTCGGTAGCCGACAAAACCTACGTAACCTGCCTCGCTTCAAAATCTCTTTCCGTGACGCTGAGCTCCTGCCGTGCGCGCAGGTGGGAAACCTGGGTGTTGTATTCGACGGCGCACTCACCTGGGAAGCACACGTGGCCGAGCTGAGCCGTCGCTGCATGGGCGTACTGATCGGCCTCTCCCACGCACGACACTGCCTCCCAGACGGAATCCTCAAAACGATCGTGACTGCACTCGTCATCTCGCGCGTCCAGTACTGCCTCACTGTATATGGAAATGGCTCCCAGAAAAACTTCGACCGACTTCAAAAAATTCTAAACTTTGCGGCACGGGTCATATTCGGCCGCCGGAAATTCGATCACGTCTCTGGCCTCCGCGATTCACTCGGATGGATGCCTCCGAAAGCTATGGCCGATGTTAAAACCATGGTAACTGCGCAGAAAATAATAAGCAACGGCGAGCCCGAAGCACTAGCTGCCATCTTCACGAATAACAGTGACGCGCGAGAGAGGTCCACCCGGCAGGACCACCTTTTCCACCTTCCACGCTCGCGGCTCGAGACTGGCAAGCGACGATTCGGCTACCGGGCCGCGGCGCTACTAAACAGTCTGCCTCCCGGTGTCATCGAACAGCGCCCCGCCCCATTCGCCCGTGCGGCCAAGGCTGCAGTCTGTCCGGCGATGGCGACCGCCCGACGATGACCCGTGTCAGGGGAAGGAGGTGCGACATCCGTGTGCGGTGTGCTGTCTTGAATCGTCCGTTTGTATATAGAGAGAGCGAATGTCCAGCGATTGAATCTGTATGCCTGTGTTTCTTGTCCCCGCATGTTTTTGTTTGTGCCCGACTCAGACTCTGGACTGTAATCGCCACGCCCCGCGTGGATTGTCCATGAAGGTAATACAATACAATACAATACGCTGTACGCATTGCACTGCAGGGAGGTAAATCGGGAATCACCATGAATAGAAAACCATGTCACAGATAAGTTGGTATGTGTAATAACAGTAAACCGTGAAACTAACGCCGACTGCTACCAAGATGATCTCAGCTTTGTTCCTTGACGGTTAAGGGTTCCACTGAAATCTGCATGCTTTCTAGAAAGAATACGAAATTAAGATTCTGAATTGTTACTGTATTTTAGGCCCGGCTCAATACAACAGGACTGTGATCATAATAATTGCAGGCGAAAGTTTACTTGATTATCCAGATAATATCCGTATTTCCAGGTGTTACAAAAACCATGAGCTCAGGCATGCGAGTTCCTAATTCGTAAATAGGTATCTAGGTACTTACAATCAGCCCTCAACATAAGAGAGAAAGCCAAACAGACTGAGATTTGAGGCCGGTGGATTGAGGAATGAAGATGATTACTCTTTGATGGCATTCTTTGCAAGCTTTCACGATGCATGTGCATGTGTACCATCAAGCTTGTGCGGTCATTAAAGGTCCATGCATGCACATTGAGTGCCACCGGCAGTTTCTCAATGATTGATGCCGGAATGTGCTGAATTATGCCTCTGGCTGTGGCAGAACGCGTCAACGCCGGATCGAGAACAGCTCGGAGCCACCGCAGCCGACATGAGCCAACCCCGTGGAGCCGCCTCCCACGGGAACCAGCGGGTAACCACCAGCTCGTTGGCGGTGCCTTTAGGGACGCTGGAGTAAGACTCTCGCGTGTGGAGGCACTTGACCGTGTGAGTTTGCACTGAGAGGGTGACAACACAGTTGCCATCGAATTATGAATATGAAGAGATTTGGCGGCTACGCTGTGAACATATTTGATCAAATAACTTTGAGTGTTCGCCAAATTCCTTTTCGACATTGACCGACTTTCCATCGCTTTCATAGCCAGCCAGACGTAACGGCGGAATCGCCGAACAGCCATGGCCGATTCCAGTTTACGAGTGAGCCCTCTCAGCTGGTTGGCTCGTTGACTTTCGGAAGCTCGGTTCTCACTCCCAGCCGTTTATAACTCTGTTCATGAGCCACCCGCGCCGCCATCGTGCATTGGCCGCGCCTCGTCCACGGGAGATGAGGGGCGTGTGCAGGGCTAAAAATCCCGGCCAGAGCTCAGCGCCGCGCGCGCCGCGACTGGTGTCAGGCCGCGGAGAAAGTGGCGGCGGCAGGCGGGGTCGTCGCCGCCGACCGAGCCCGATGGAGGTCATGGAGAGACGCCGAGACACGCGCCCGCCCGGCCCGCCGGACATGGCGGCTGATGGCCCGCCGGGTCCGCTGCCACACCCGGGGAGGTGTAGGGACTGACCGGCTGCGGCTACAGACAGCCGCCGGGAGTTTGCCGTCACCCTGGGCTGGTCGCCGCTCCGGTCACCTTTCGCCATTCGCCTGAGAAAACCCCGCCGGTCGCCGCCCCCGCCTGGGAGACCTTGCTGGTCAGAGGGGACCACGGCCCGATTCCCGAGAAGGCCGGTTAGTGCCCCCAGGGGTCGACCGGCCAGTCACCAAGTTTGGTGGATATGACGACATGCCACAGGTTCGGCATTTGCGGAGGTAGTTCACGGCCAGACCCATAAAACTAGGCGCGGCACCATGTTGGGCGGTGATTCAACTCCCACGCGAGCGTTGGCGCTCGTTTTCACAAGTCGTGATGAGGTGAGACCCAACCGAGGTTCTGCTATAGAGTTAGAATCAGCTGAGAACTCGAACCCAGCTTAGCGCTCATAGCCTGTTGGGGACATTTTTCAATTTCGCCGAAGCCGAGAAAGCCATTCAAATGCCGCATTTGAAACGTTGAAACCCCCAAGTCGATAATTCTCAGACACCTAAATCACAGAGAAGCCGAGAAGTCAGCTCGACTAGAAACCTCACAGCGCTTGTAACTGCGACTCGAGATTTGTGCGTCCCGACAATGTGGACGTTTTTATGCGTTCGGCCTCTTCTGGGACACGCAGTCTCCGGCGCATTCCAGCGTCGTCGACCTAATTTTACCGCTGTGAGCATCATCCTCGCCGTGGTGACCTCTCCCCCGGCTCGCTCTCTCCATCCATCATCTTCAGGCGGCGCTCGCCGCTCATGCACCCGCCTGTTGTTTGGCTCAGTCGCGGCTCCAATCAGGCTGTAGTGCTGTGGCTATGCTCGTAATTCGAGCCTCAGGGCTGTGATCAGGTCCGATAGGCACTTCTTTGCCCTCGGGCACGCAGATTGAAGGTTTTGACTGAATTCCAGTTGGTCAGAATGGTGCATAGTGAAGGTTCGGTTTCAGGAAATTCTGTCATGGAGTGGTTAATCGAAATGATCAGCTGCAGTTGAGCTAAATATGTCAAGTAGAAGCATAGGCAGAGCTCGTAAGGCCGTCAACCCAGCACTGAACAAATGACGCTGGCCCGTTGTCTATTTGGGGCGGCACTTGCGCTCCAAATTGATGGCTTCTCTGACACGACACGGCCCACTGGCCCACTCTCAGGGTCTCGGGGCAGTTTCCATGTCATAAGACGACGTTTCTGCCGAACGAGAGAAAACGGAAGCGCTCTGTTCTCCCGCGACAGCCCAGAGAGAGCAGGAAGTACACCTTTCACACCAATTACCCTGCGCGTGAGCCGTCTAGTTGTAGCTATATCGGAGACATGACAAAAGCACGCTCCGGATGTCAGACTAAGGCCGTGTCCATGAAGGAGCTGGATAAAAAGGGCTCCATAAAAGCACGATGTGGCCGTGATCCTGTCACCACGCCGAGTTCACGGATTTACCATTTGCGTAATTGACTGCTCCATAAAACTGGAATAAATATGACGGTTCTTAGCGTGAGCCAAGTGGATATGTAACTTACTTAGAGCCGCTGAGACCAAATAGGAAAGTCACGTCTGCCCGCGATGGGAGCGTCGCAGCGCACGTCTCTGCGCATGTTTGGTAACCGGTCGCGACCCGTCCGGTGTGACTTATCGCCGGTGAGGGGCTCGGACCACTCCACAAAACGTGTCCCACCGGCCCGGCGCCGGCTGGACACCTCCAGTCCGCTCACAATGGACGGAGAGCTCCGATTAGCTCACCACCCCGCTCACCACGGCGCGGCGGGCTGGCCCGCTAGTGCTGGCAGTGGCGGAAGGGGGAAGGCGACCCCATGAGGACAAGAGCGGGGATGGGCGATGGCGACGGAGGGGCGGTCTGGCCCAGAGGTTGGCCGGTTACGTGCTTCCCGCGTCCCGCGCCGGCCGCAGTGGATCACCGAGCCCCGCCCATTTGGCCGGCCCGGTCCTCTGCCAGTCCACTGCTCCATTGTGCGCTGGGCGCGGGACGGCCCAGACGCCGGCGGCGGCGCGAATCGAGCTCGCCGCTGACTCGGCACCGGCCGGCGGAATGCCCGCCGCTGGTCGTAGAGGCAATTACGGCGCACATTAGCCGGCCGCGCGGCTAACCTTGACGCATGGACGGGCGGGCGCGGCGCCGATCGCGGCCGCGGCGCCGGCGCTAACCTTCGCTGCCGGATACCGCGCCCGGTGAGAGCCGGCGATGGCTTCACGGCGCGCCGGGAACGCCGCGCCGCGCCGCCAACGCCGTACCGCGCCGGACGCCGCTAATAGGCGCGGCCGTTTGCGATCCTTCACGGCGCGGCCGAGGCTTCCTGTCGGCTGCGACAGCTGGCCTCGCGCAGCCGGGCGGAAAGCTGAGCGATACTCGGGAGAGACTTCCTGCTAGGATCGGCGACAGGTCGGAAAGTGGGGTCATCGAGGACTTCCTGCCGGCTCCGTGACGGTCTTATGGACCGGCTGAATCAGCCCGGCAGACGCGCCAGGAAGTGTCCGTTTCTCCTGGCGCTAACTGGCCGGACAGGTGTGGGTGTGCGCGCTGTGCGGTATGACGACAGCCGGACGGGTGGAGAGCGCCGCGGCTGACCACGCGAAAGTCGCCGTTTTGGAGAAACTGCTCACATCCTGTATTCGTGTCCGTCGACGTTGTTTGGTGACCACGTCACATGAGAGCGGCATGACCCGGGGTAGTGCGGAAAAATCCAGTCATCCATCACGGGGCGCCGTTGCGTTCGGGAGTCTCCCTTCTCTCCCGTAAAGGTCTCGCTGGCGGCGGTTTGGCAGAAGACTCACCACTGTCACCAGGCAGGCTTCTGTCCCAGCGCGATACCGATTCGGCAGCCACACCCAGACCATACACCTGAAGGCTGTCTCGCGCAAATAAAAAACAACATCGACAACAGAAGGCTCAGACCGGACAGCAAGGTCGCTGACGCGGTCTGTGCCCACCTGGTAGGAGCGGGCCGTGATATATTGTCCCCCAGCAGCCCCCGGACTCCGGGAGAGCCCCGGTATCCGGGCTGCTCGGACGGCCTGGGAGCGCGGAGCCCGGCGCGGCGCGCGGCGCTCGCCAAGGCCGCGCTCGGCCGCCGGCGCTGCCGTGCGATCGTATGCAGCCGGCCGCGGGAGGAGCTGCTCGCTCGACCGGCCCTGGCGCCACCTTTACCACCTATCAATCACGTCATCAGAGCACCGCGCACGCTCGCCGACCTCTCGGCTATGTAAATTGCAGCGCCTCTGCATCTCGGGCCCCTCGTGCATACTCGACCCGGGTGGGTAGGGAGTCTTGCACAGCAATCAACCGCTCGCCGGAATCGAACTCCGATCAGCCTCAATATCGCAGCCAGCTCTCGATTCCCAGGTGATTCTGCATACTTGCGTTACGCGCTGCTGGAGTTTAGAATCGCCATCTCCATGCTTCAGTTAAAACAAGGTCGCTCAGACGATTGGCGCAGGGTGAAAGTGGTCGAGCGTGTCATCGTATAGTGGACTGCGAGAAATCGAGCACGGGACCGACCAGGGGAAAAGCTGAAATCGTTACGCTTCGTTATCGCTTCGATAGTCTACCAAGAATACTCTGCGTGAGTCTAGAGATTCATTTCATGCATCGACTGTCTAAAAATGTGCATACAAAGTCTGTGACCTCGGCATGCACATGTGCATAAATATGGAGTTCTATCCGAATATGCGTCTGTTCTGCCAAAGTTAGCTCATACCCGCGATGGCGGCGCAAGGCATGTATCACAGCTAGCCGACCAGAGCGGCCGCTTCGTGCGCGCTCCATCCCTGAACGCTGTCCCGAGGCGACGATAAATGCTAATCGCCAGTGCACGCGAGGCGGCTGGAGTCTCCTCTCCGCTCCGGGCATCCCGGCCGGGGCGCCGCGAGCTCCCCTCCCCTGCTGCGCCGGTGCAGACTCCTCTGCAGCCAGTGCGGCGCCCGGCCGGCCGGCTGCCCGCGCTCAGCGACGGGATGTGCGTTATGTAACCTGGCTAAATAACATTTAGGCGAGGTTCATCCGTCACATTTTTGGTATCTGGAATTCGCACAAAAGCTCATGTAGCTGTTCGGCAGGATTGAGCTCAACGAGTAATGTCTCGTATATCTATATCTTTATTTGCTTAGTGATCCAGATTGTGTTAAGATCGGTTGTGCAAATCGCCATTTCCTTTTTTAACCTAGAATTGATAAAGAAGCAGCAAAGAAAGCTGGCACGGGGAAAATCAACATTCAGCTTTTCGGATAGTTTTGCATTCACAGTGCTTTCACAGATGGCACGATGTCTATAAATAGGTAAAAATTCCTATACATATATAAATTTTTAATTTAAAGACATGATTTACAAGTCTGAGAGGCAACCTGGCATTGACGACTTCATCATTATCAAAGTCATGCTTATAATATAAAATTATTCATATAATCCGCATTGCGCCATTGGCTTCATACGTCATACAAAAACATCACCAGGGGCTTCTCACGTCTGGCCTGAGCCGCGACTGCGTCTTACACCACGGGGATCTAAGCCGGTCCGACTGGCACATATCCCGTCCGGCATCGATTTCTGAAGCAGCACGAGCGCCGCCCGCCAAACAGAGCCGCTCGCCGCGGTCCCAGCGAGCTCCGGTAACGGTGGGAGAGCCCACGGTCGGCACTGGGTCCCCCGGAGGGGCCTCGGGCCGGAGTGGTAAAACATTGGCTGCATGGAGCAGAGTACCGCCTGACACTGGTCTCCGCGCTCCTCGCGCGAGAGTCTCTGCAGAGGAGAGCTGTTCCGATCGTGGGCCGCGTGAGAGCGCGGACGAGGATCCCTACCTCTCTCCCCGTCGGTCTCAGAGGTCCGGTCAGCCGTCCCGTGAGAGGAGTCCCCAGCCTGGTGCAGGCGCCGAGCTCAGCCCACACAAACGATGGAATTTTATTATTGTGCACCAGGCCCTTATTGTGGTCAACAATGGGCGAAAGGGAAAGGCGTTTTGATGTATCGGATACAGGGATCGCAGACGGCGGCCTTCTGCGCGCAGAAAACGCTGACATGGCTCGGCGTAGCAAATGAAAGTGGAACGAGATCGGCCTGGTCATAGCCGCGGTGCAGCCGAGCAGATCAATGTCGTTTGTTATCTTCCCGATGATCGCGGATGGTGGTCGTTGTGAAAAGCGCAATACAAGGTTATAGGGTACATATCTAATTGAAAATGTGGCGCTCCCTTATTTTGCTTTACCCATACCCAGGTAGGGGGAATAATTCGTGATTAATTTTGCCGTGACTTTGTAAAATTTGTTGGTGAGCTAAAAAAAATGTATGAAGGTTAAGGCCGAAGGTGCTAGTATCCAAAGATGACCACCGTGCTAGTGCCTCGCAAATTTATGAGAAAAGTAATATCAGGCCTAGAACGAGGATTAAATAAAGAAATAATAGGCCAAATTATTTCAAAGTCTTCAAATCCACATTAATCCGTCACGTCTCGGCGTTCAGAGTAATGAATACCGCTGAATATCCATTGCAGATGGTCACGTTTCAACTCAGTCACGCACCAGATCCCACGAATTGGTCCGATATGCCATGACCTATCACCCCATGCAGCGGTTTTACGTTGTCGGTCTACCCAGCGAACCGTGTAACTTCTCCAACCAGAAGAGACATACAGACCAACAGGCTAGAAAATTGAGGGCCTCGAGACATTGTGCATAAGTAGCAATTATTAGTGACACGATTTATAACGAGTGGGACATTCTTATTACCGCAGTACACACTGCACTGGAACTGACGTAAAAATCAGGCTCATGCAGATCGTAAGTGACTTAAAAATCGAAGTCATGCAGACCAATAACCAAGTTTTTATATCAGCAATACGTTTAAATATATCCAAGTTATAGGTACACAAAATAAGTGCAGAACTTCTTATTATCCCCTCCACCGACCCCGTTCACCCCACTCCGGCGCCGGCTGCGGGGCCGGTACGCGGGACTGGGGACTGACCTGTGCAGCAGACTAGTCCGGCCGGCGGCTCACTCCGATCGCCACTGAGTGCGCGCTCGCGGTGCGGTCCCCACACCCGGCTGGCCCAGCTACCTGTGAGTGGCGGCCGCCGCCAGGTACCCGCGCACCCCGCGCCGCCGCGCCGCCGCCCGACAATTAGACGGAACTATTTTTGGCGACGGACAACGGCCCCGCCCGAGGCGCTGACCTCGCTAGATGCGTTTGCGTATGCCGACGCTGGCCATGGGGTCAATGAAACCATGGAGGGGAACGGAGGTGAAGGTAGGAGACGAGCGATTGGTAGGAGAGCGGAGACGGCCGTTCAAAAGTGCCGGGCCGGAATGCACGTGCTTCGCGCCATCTGGGTCGTAAGGTGGGGCCGCCCGACAGAGGTGTTTATTATTTGGGGCTGTTTGGTTGCTGTCAATTGGCCCCGTGTTGGTGGTCGCGCAAAATACTGAGTGGCGGGGGACGTAGAAAGGACCCCTCCAACTCGATTCGTGAGCCACGGAGCGACAAGCAGTATGTAATGACCGATGACGTTGGAGTTTGTCTTTGAAAATTGAAAGGGCTGCCAAAATAATTCAAAATGATTTCATTCGTTTCATGAACAGACCACAGGCTTGATCAAAAGTTATCGATGGTCATATTTCCCGATTTATTGTTTCCAGAAGTCGACTCATACTCGTAGTCGTCATTCATCATTAATAGGTAAAGCGGAGAGCTAAGGCATAGTAAAACTACTATTTTTATAACATTGATTAGTCGTTTACAGACACGGTGGGTTGTACCTATAACTATGTTTCCTGATTTTATTCCAACTTTCAAGTCAACGGATGCTGAAAAATAGGTACTAGTGACCTTTTCTGACGTCACATGAGAGGCACAATGTGGACCACCTGTGTGACGGCTCAATAATACATTTATTCAATAGTATATTCAATAGTATATTCAATAGTATATTCAATAGTGCCTAAACATGACATGCTTGCGAAGCGAATGGAAAAACGCACATTTGCCGTATTTCCCCGCTGGCGGCGTTAGAATGGCTAGGTTACTAATTTGACTCGCCTGGCAGGGGCGCGGGAACTACTTTCAGACTGGGGGGGGGGGGGGCACACCATAATAGAGATCAACCTAGGGTACCCCCAAATCTAGTTTTCTCGCCGGTGTTAGTCCATTTATTTTTCATCCCCAAGCTTTTTCAACAAAAAAGAAACATTTCCAAAAAAGTGTTGTACCTATTCCGTCTCAAAGTTGTAGGGCACCGCCCCCACGGCCCCAGTTGGGGGAGGGGGGGGCAAGCTGCCCCCACTGCCCCCCCCCCCCCCCGGTTCCCGCGCCTCTGCCTATGACATTTATAAATGTCATAGATTTAAGAAATATAATAGTTATATTAACAGTCCGACCTGCGAGTGTACACAAATTGTATTTCTATTATATTGTATTGTATTGCATTTTATTGCGTACGCGATATAATTTTTATCATTTAGGTTTGTGTTTGCAGTTTGCGATAACGGTGGAGCCACACCGCTCCAAGAACTCCTCTCGAGGAGTTATAAACTGCTTCGACTTGAGGAACGTGAGTGACGAGGACATAGCGGACGGGCTCTCGGAGTACGGCGTGACAGCCGCCCGCCGCATCCTCACGCGAAGAGGCACGGTCCCGACAAATAACATCATTCTGACATTTGACACCACCGACATGCCGAACGAGGTCCGTGTGGGTTACATCAAGGTCCGCGTGCGCCCATACGTCCCGGCACCCATGCGCTGCTATCGGTGCCAGAGGTTCGGCCACACGAAGGACAACTGCCGGGGTAGACCCACATGCTCCAAGTGCGCTTCTCAGGACCACACTGACGATACGTGCGACTCGGAGACCCCTCGATGCGTCAACTGCGGAGAGGGGCAGAAACCGCACTCCGCGTATGACAGGTCCTGCACTACATACGTCAAGGAGAAGGAGATTAACACCATCAAGGCTACCAGGAATCTGTCATTCAAAGAGGCCCGGGAGGTATATAACCAAAATCACCCGAAGACCTCGTATGCCCAGAAGGTGAAAGTGACAAACGCTACCGATGCCTCCCAGATGAGCGTGGCACAGCTCGTGCAGCTTCTCAAAAGATTTGGCCTCACTGTCGTAGCCACTGGTGACTCCGCGGACTCTTCGGCGCCTGGTGCGCCGCCGAGTGACACAGAGCAGACTGCTCAAGAGTCAGTGTGGGGTCCACCCAGTCCCGCTCCAGCTGCGAGCGGTGAAGGAAACGATTGGACCGTCGTCCAGCGCCGACAGGGTGGTCGGCGCCCCCCGGCGCAGGGTAAGGCGCCATCCACCCCGCCCCGCCCCCGACCGCCCACGGCGGTGCAGGAGGCTCTGCGGCGGGGAGAGGAGGAGAGGAGGGCACGAGAGGCGAGGAGGGCTCGCCTCGTTCAAAAGGCCATCGAGGCTAAGGAGGCCTCTGTTGCCGCCTCCGCCTCCGGGAGTGCCAATGCGGCTGTCGCCGCTGACACCCCGGAGACCCCTCAGGCGGGGACTCGGCCCATCATGGGTCCCCCGCCCCCTCCCTCGCTCTCGCAGCAGCGGCGGCCTCCGCCGTCGCTGCCAGACACACCTGTGTCAAGGACACAGGCCGCCGCCCCGACATCCCCGTCGGGGCAGCCTCAGCCCCCTGCGGCTCCGGGGCGCCTTGCCAAACGGCAGACGCCCCCGAGCTGGTCGCCCTCGGAGGGTGACGCTCCTCGGGCGAAAAAGCCCCAGCAGGGCTTGAGTCACGCCCGATCTGCCTCCGCAGAAGGCAGACTCCACCGAGAGGGCTCGGGGCACCCCCGTATCCGCTACGGGGGGAGCGCCTCTTCGGAAAAAGAGGACTTAGTCTAGTCATTTACTCTAGTCATTTCCTCTTTTATCCTTTTATCTTTTTCGCGCTATTGCGCTTTTTTACCAGGTGCGTTTCTCTCGGCGTTTTTTACCTTTTTTTGTGGCCAGTCAGGTATCTGCGTGCGCCTTTGCCTCATGTTATACGCGCCCTTTTTGCGCCTTTTTAACCACGCCTTTTATTCTACAGTGGAACTGTAGAGGCCTCCGGGCCAACTACCAGGACCTACAGTCTCTTATCCGTTGGCGCACACCCCTTGTTTTAGGTCTCCAGGAGACCAAGCTAGCGCCAAATGTCACCTTTGTCATCAAGGGCTACTCTGTTTTTAGAAGAGACCTAGATACCCCGACCATTGCCCATGGAGGTGTGCTTCTGGCGGTTCACCATAGCGTACCTGCGCGCCAGGTGCCGCTGCAGACTCCCCTGCAGGCGGTGGCCGCCAGAGTTGATTTCAACCACCGGGAACTGACCGTGTGCTCTTTATACCTACCACCAGGTAGAGCGCTCCCGGTGGTTGAGCTACATCGACTTGTCGATGAACTTCCACCTCCGGTCCTGCTAGTCGGCGATTTTAACGCCCATAGCCTGGCGTGGGGTTGCGACACGACTGGCACTCGTGGTCGCCTTTTAGAATCTTTTATCCGCGATGAGGCGCTCTGTATTTTAAATACAGGACAGCGCACCCATTTTACAACACCCTCCGGTCAAACATCGGCTCTGGACCTGAGCTTAGCCAGCCCGCAGCTAGCTCAGCTTTTTAACTGGTTCGTCCATGACGACCCACTCGGGAGCGACCATTTCCCGGTGTGGCTGGAGCACCAGGAGTCCCCAGTGGTAGGCAGCCGTCCACCTAGGTGGAATCTTCGGAAGGCCGACTGGGGCGATTTCCAGACCGCCGTAGAGGCCTCTGTTCTATCCAGAGCCGACACCTCTATGATATCCACAGAGGAGTTTACGTCCCTACTCATTGATTCCGCAAACGGGTGCATACCCAAGACGTCGAGCCAGCCTCGTCGTCCTCCTGTTCCGTGGTGGACCAAGGAATGCGGAGACGCGATTCGTGCCAGGAAACGCGCTTTTAGAAGGTTTGACCGGAGTGGCACTACTGAGAACCTCATCGCTTTTAAGAAAGCGCGGGCTTTTGCCCGACGCGTTTTAAAAGAGGCAAAGGCTGTTTCATGGCGCACTTACGTAAGTTCCTTAAACCGTTTTACTCCTACGACCCAGATATGGGCACGCATGAAGCGCATTGAAGGCCGGTTCAGCTCTGTTCCGCTTCCGGTTTTAAGAGTGAACAACACGGACATATCTCACCCTTCAGACGTCGCAGAGACGATAGGCCGTGCACTCTATCAGCGCTGCCGAGGAGAGTCCTCACGACCTGCACCAGCCGCCGTGGACTTCAGCACAGCTGAAAATTTCGTGTACAATGAGCCTTCCACCATGGTTGAGCTTACGTCTGCCATCAGCTCGTTGCGCAGCGTCTCAGAAGGTCCGGATGCTGTCCACAACGACATGCTCCGTCATCTCCCCGCAGTTGCCCTCGAGGCGCTGCTAGCAACCTTCAATTCGCTTTGGGAGACTGGCACCTTCCCTGAGACCTGGCAGGAAGCCATTATCATTCCTATCTTGAAGGCTGGCAAGTCGGGACATGACCCTCTCCATTATCGGCCCATCTCTCTCACATCATCGCTATCAAAGCTGATGGAGAAGATGGTCAATGTGCGTCTTAGCTGGTTTCTGGAACATCACGGTGTTTTTACAAACGCCCAGTGCGGTTTTAGAAAACACCGCAGCCCTGTGGACCACATCTTAACCCTTGACACCGAGATACGCACCTGTTTTACTGAAAAGAAGCACCTTGGAGCACTGTTCTTTGATATTGAGGCGGCCTATGATACAGTGTTACGACACAGAATACTTTCCAAAGTACATAAGTACGGCATACGTGGCCGAATGGGTCTCTTTATCAAGAACTTTTTATCGGGTCGTCGGTTCAAAGTCCGTGTTGGCAGCCGTCTTTCGAGCAGTTTTATTCAGGAGAACGGAGTTCCTCAGGGCGGAGTGCTCAGTGTGGCGCTGTTCGCTGTGGCGATCAATGACATTGGCGACAATCTCGCACCATCTATCGGCAAATCACTATTTGTCGATGATTTCGCGATCTGGTTTTCAGTTACGACCGCCCGTCACGTTGCCAGACAGTTGCAGCTCGCTGTAACCCGTCTGGAGAGGTGGAGCGA